TCTCTCTCTCTCTCTCTCTCTCTCTCTCTCTCATCGTGATTATGGAGTCTTAATTTGGGATGAAAACTCCTCTACCGCTAGTCTGTATAGTGAGCAAGTCTGATCTTTAGTGAGTTTAGCATATACAGTATGCAGTCATGACAAAGAAGTAAGTTCATGACAATAATTGTGTCACTTTAACCAGTCTGTGACTTTTCACTAATGACTCAGCTCGTGGATGAAGGAGAGAACAATTCCCAATTATTTAATTGAAGTAATATTTTTTTCTCAGGGATACTATTTATTTGAATCATCGATTTAAATAAATGTGTCAGAGCCCAATTCACTCATAGGTTGGTATTGCATTTATATGTTGTCTTCCTGAGAATTTCACAAACAGCTTGGATACCTTTCAATGTTGTATCATGGTTGTGGTTTTCCAGGCTTAATTATGGCTTATTTTTATCCCAATCTTAGCTAAGCGTTTCAATTGACTTACCACATGTAACTTGAGAAAAATCTTCCAGAGGGTTTCATTGTTATCTACATTGCATAGATGCAGAAGTCATGCTAGGAGAAAATGATTTGCCTCAATCCTATTTACAGGAATTGGAGCCAATTTAATATTAGGCCCAGAGTATGAAATAATATCCTGATTAAGTGCTTGAATTGATTTTTGTAATTTGACACGAAAAGTCATATATAATGAAGTTCAAGTATAATAGTTAATTGTTCAATTGGGTGAAAAGGAATATTCCATTTTCTTTTCTTTAGGAAATACAAATCAACAGCCTTCATTGTATCCAGTTATCACTGCTAGTATGTCATTGTCCGGACTTATTGATTTCCGAGAAGCAAATAAAAATATTCAGAAATCTATTCCAAATATGGTGGGGACAAGGTTATCTGACCATTCTTCCCCTACTTATTCAGGATCAATATCTTCATTGAAAACCCAAGACAAGATAACCCCAATGGGCAGTACCATATCTAAACCATGCACTGGCTCACTTGAAAGCCAGTCACTTAGTTTCAAACTTGCTACAAACGAAAATGATAAGCAGGCAACTGAACAGCCTGAGCAGATGGCCATCTGTACGATGGGCACCACAGAATTCAAAATAAGCAAGAAGAAGAAAAAGCTGAAAAAAAAGAAAGCCCTCCGAGCAGCCCGTGTTCCTGAGAACAGTGATACAGAACAGGACGTGAGTGATTCAAAACCATTTAGGAAAGTAAAGGCCGTAAAGATACCCAAGGGAGAAAAAGTAACAACATCCACCCCTCCAAAGCAAGACGATGCTCAAGAAAGAAAGAGGAAGAAGGAGAATGACAGTGACGCATCTCTTGAATTTGTGGAAGTCTCTAAATCTCCTTTGGAAGTGGTGGCCATCATCTCCTCGGAGTCGGAAAGTGAGAAACCAGATAGCCCTTCTAAGAGAGATACCTTGAGCGCCACAGAGAAAATTTTGAGAGAGCCATCTCGGTCGAGCTATGACGAAGTGAGCTCTACTAGTGAGATTGGAGTAAACTATAAAGATGGCATTGGTAGAAGGTGAGCCGGCAAACTATATCTGTACTGATTGCTGTCTGCATTGTAGTGGCTTTTAATCTGCCGAGAATATTAGAGTTTATGGATTCTTGGGGGCAATATAATTAGTCTTCTTAATATTTAGAAATCCTTTAGGAATTCTAAAGGAGTATTCAGGAAACCTTTAGCTGAGAAATGGTTTAGAACAGGGCTTTTCAACCTTTTCACCCATTGTACCACTTTTAGGATATGGCAACATCCGAGTACCACCAGTCGCCTAGCAAGGTGCCAACAACTTGATGACCCCCCCCCCAAAAAAAAGAAAGGAAAAAAGTGATAAAGTACAGGTAGTCCTCGACTTACAACAGTTCGCTTAGTGACTGTTCGAAGTTACAATGGCACTGAAAAAAGTGCCCCCCAAGCCACAGCTGAGCAAGACACCTGCCTGCCCACCCGGCGGCACTCTTCCTCCTGTCCGAGGTTTTCATTGTTGTGAGCATTTCTGTTGAGGATTGGCAGCGGGGGTGGGGTGGGGGTGTTTAGTTTTTATTCCCCCCGTCTGCTGGGTGGTTGCAGCAGGTATTGGTCACTTCACATGACCCTGGGACACTGTGACCGTCATAAATATGAATCAGTTGCCAAGCATCTGAATGTAAATCACAAGACCCTGGAGATGCTGCAATATTCCAGCTGACCGGCGCTTCTTCTGGGCTCAGCAGAAGCGCCAGGAACAGCGCCAAGCTCCAGCTGGAGCCTGGCGCTGATCCTGGCACTTCCGCTGAGTCCTGACAGCCCTGCAGCTCCAGCCATCTCTCGCTCAGGCTTGTGTGGTGCTGCTACCGGTTCAGCTCATTCCCCTCCCCCACTACCACTTTTCTAGGATGGTCGCGTACCACCTGCCAGGTGCCAATGTACCACAGGTGGTACCCGTACCACTGGTTGAAAAGCCCTGGTTTAGAAAACAATTGAAGTTGACATACTGAACCACATTCAGCAAACCATGTATGACAAAAATCCCATTTCATATAAAGTTTGTGATTGTTGAGAAAAGGTTTGATGTAGTTTCTGTAGAAAGACTTAGCTCCTTTTTCGTTGAATATTTTTCCAAGAAGATTCTAATGTAGTATTATGTTTTGTAGTGGTGTTTTTCCCCCCTAAACTACTTAAATTGTCAGTGGCATTCTCTTTCTTCTATAGTGTGGCTGAGACTCAGACATTCATATCGTCATTACGAGGATCAAAAACCTCATCAGGTACATCTGTTTGTGTATTAGTTTTCTTAACAGCAAAATAAGTATAAGATCTTTTGGAGAGAAATTAAGCTGTAGTTTCTTGGAATTCAGTTGCTTCATACCGCTTTAATTATGCACTTAAAAATATTCTAAAATTTCCAAAATACCCATGCCAATTTATTTTTTCTGAGACTTTAACTTGAGGTTTCTTACATCGTTTGCTTGCTCTTTGATCTGTTTGGTGAAAGTTAAATTATCTTTCTTCTAGCCAGTAAATTGCTTATTTCTTTTTGCATTTCTTTGTATCTACTCTGTATGAAGAAGGAACTCAAAGGCTACTTTGAGATAAATTTTGACTCAAGGAATTTAATCACTTGGAACCAATATCTAATTTGAGATGCGCTTCAGTAAACTTTTGAGGAGATTTAATATAATCTTGACGAGATGACAATAAAATACTTTTCAAAGCTAACCATTTTGGTGCTATATTTATTTGTAACATATGTTTGAATGTATTTGGAGAATGTTGCTTTTTCTCTTCTGGTGATGCAATAAATTTCCATTCCTTTCCCCCTCATACTTAATGTACTCCTGTTGTGACGGCAAGCTTTTTCTATATGGTTCCAGACTGTATCTATTAATGTTGGTAGCTCATTTTTATACTGTATTTTTTCTTGATAAAGTTGCAGTTTAGTTCCTTTTCTTAACTCCTTCAATTAACAGAGTCAAAACGGAGGCGGTGGTGAGGCCCCTCCTTAAGAAGCCTTCCCTGGACCCAGATGTATTGGCTAACTATCGCCCAGTCTCCAACCTTCGCTTTGTGGNATGGTTATTCCAGCTTGCGGGACTGGCCTAGGGGAAAATTTTTAGAGGGGTTTTAAAATAATTTTAATTAGACCAACTATTAATATTTGCCTTTTAATTAAGTTTTAAATTTGTAGTTTGATATTTTGTATTTTTATCTGGTTGTCAGCCGCCCTGAGTCCGCAAGGAGAAGGGCGGGATATAAATATAATAAAATAAAATAAATAAAATAAATAAATAAAACAAACTTGATTTGTTGCTCAGCTGAAGGGTTAGATAGGACAGATAGGGAGACTGAGCAGACCTACGAGGATTATTATGGGTTGGGAGAAGCAGCCTGGAAGGCTAGTAGCCTTTGCACAGGTTGAAGAGTGGGTGTGGACAGCACTATGCTCCAATGGGTAATGGGTGCAAGGAAGAAGAAATGGTCAAGTGGGAAGGCAAAGGGGAACCATTAACCATACCCAATACTTTAGAGGACCAAGCGCACTCATATGAATAGGATGTTTAATTGCAAACTTTGATTTGTATTTGCCAGAAGTGTCTTCAGAGCCAGGTGAAGATGAGGATCCCACAGAAGGGATATTTGAGGGGCATTCGGCTTCAGTGAATGCCATTCAGATTTTTGGGAATTTGTTGTACACCTGCTCAGCAGACAGAACTGTCCGTGCGTATAACTTAGTGGTAAGTAGACCTGCTGAAAAGGTTATAGTTGGATTGTGACCTCTTTGACTCAAAGTAAATCTTGGGGCAATTAAAATGAGGGAATAATTAGCAAAGGTGGAAAAGTAGGGTCCTCAATATTTTTTAGACTGCAACTTTTAACAGCCTTGGGATAAATGCATCTGTCCAGATGAAACTGAAGCCTATTCAGTTTTGTGGGGAGGGATGAAGGAAACTTTATTATTAGAACCCTATTAATCAAATCTAGTGAATGCCATATGATACTTAACGTCTCTCTTAGAAAAAGAAACCAGTGATAGAAATACAAAATAATTGTTCCTAGGATTCTGCAGACATATGCATGCTACTTCATGAAAAAGTGGTATCAGAAATTTTCTTATAGAGCTTAAGTTCATATGAAATTGCAGCTCTTGAAGGAATGATGGAACTTGCTAGAAGACAATATTAGTTTGGGACTATATATAGGTAGTCCTCAACTAACAATTGTAGTTGAGCCTGAAATTGATCTTAAATCATTGCAGTTGTTAGTGACTAATTGACCGGGCCCAATTTTACAACCTTTTTTTTTCTTGGAGCAGACATTAAGTAAACACCATATTCATTATGTGAATCCACTTTTATTCTATGGGTGCTTTTTGTTGGAAAAATAAATAAATGCCAGAAACTTGCAAAAAGCATTAAAAAATCACGGTTGAATGATTATGAGATGCTGCAAAAGTGAGCCTGTTGCCAAGTGCCCAAAATGCGATCATATGACTGTGGGAATGTGTTGCAGCCATCGTAACTTTGAAATTGAGTCATAAGTAGCTTTTGAAAGGGTCTGTTGTAATTTCGAACAGTCACTAAGTGGTTGTAAGTCAAGAACTATTATATCTGTAGCTCCATATGCACTTTAAATTTCTTATATCTCTAAGAGCTGCCTCTCTATTGTAAGTGACAAGAACTGGTAACATGGCTTCCTACTTTGGAGGTGGGAAATACACAGAAGCTGAGGTACAAGCCCCAAAATAATTTTAATAAAGATAGAAACAAACCAAAAACCCCATGATCCCATGCATGGTCCTTGATTTCTCTCCAAAAGGGTGATCTCTACCTCTTAAAAGTTGCCCATCCTAATTTAAGTATAATCTGACCACATGTTGTTCTTCTTTTCATAGAACAGGAAATGTGTGGGTGTCTTTGAAGGGCACGCTTCCAAAGTCAACTGCCTCCTGGTAATTCAGACAGCAGGAAAAAATGTAGCACTCTACTCTGGCTCCAGTGATCACAATATAAATTGCTATAACATCAAAGTAAGTGTAGAGATTATGTTGACGCAACTAATTAACCAGGAGGAAAATGCATTGCCTTTTGTAATTCTGAATTTGTTCATTTGCTCCGTATGCCAATCATGAGTGTTAGGATTGGCATTGGTAAACCTTCCCAGACATTTTGGAGTCTTGATATTTCTTCAGCTTTGTGGATCTTAAAGCATTTTCTATGCATCTAAAAATGTGAGGTGGCTTCCGGAAATAAAAACATTTTCACCGATGCAAAGTGACAATACTATACTTGGATTGCAATTTAAATAATTATTTAAGCCGAATGATTTGTATAATTTTATTATTTGTACGCATTCCTTGGTCTCAGATTGATAAAATTCATGGCAGTGATTTAGTTACAGAAGTCAAGGCAATACTATGTGTACATTGCTTTTTTTTTTTTTCTTAATAGACAAGAGAACTTATTGATCAGTTTAAAGTGGATGACCGGGTGCTTTGCCTGCACAGTAGATGGAGGATCCTTTATGCCGGCCTTGCAAATGGAAATGTGATCACTTTTAATATAAAGGTCAGTATAAGAGATGTAAACATGGCTAATCTCCAAGAAGAAAGGCTGCTGTATCGTGTGATAACTGAAAAGGACAAATAACGTTGGAAGTTCAACTTGCATCCAACTTCCGTAGTTAAAGAAACAAGGGGAAGATCTACCTGGGCACAGTCAGAGGTTGGTTGATGCATAAGCACAATCAGACATAAGCACAATTATGCATAAGCACAATCAGACTTGTCTGGGGGAAGTAGTTACTGTGGAAGGAGTCCATGCACACTTTTCTGTTTCTTTGAATTATTTTTCTTTTCAAAATTAAAATTATGGAAGTATTTGCTATGGAGCAGAGTATATCTTAAAAGAAATTCACTCCATACAAAGTAAAGAACACTGTTTCTTAATGAAAAAAAAAATATCGTTTACAAGTCCAGTTATACAGGGATCTGGAGTTTGGGGGAAGGCATTCATATAATCAGAAGGAGGAGGATTTAGTGCTGTTGGATCTGGAGGGAAATAATTGTGTCCCTAACTTGTGTTTGGGTTGTATTTTCTTTTCCCCCAGAACAACCAACAACTTGAGACTTTTGAGTGTCACGGTCCTAGGGCAATTAGCTGCCTGGCTACAGCACAGGAAGGGGCACGACGACTCCTGATTGTGGGATCCTACGATTGTACAATTAGTGTGCGAGATGCCCGAAATGGACTACTGCTCCGAACCCTTGAAGGTCACAGCAAAACAGTTCTGTGTATGAAGGCAAGTGCCTTAAAAAGAAGAGTTTTTATTGAAATGCAGCCCTTTGAAACAATTCGTAACTTGTAAATGAGACTCCATTCTTCTTGCTTGATGCTATTTCATCAGTTCTGAGGAGAAGTAAGATGAGAGACAGCTGCTTTACACATAATCAGAGTTTTGGGTCATCCAACTCAATTATTGTTTGGATATTGTTTCAAAGACTTCAGATGAGCCTTTCTTAGCCCAATCAAAATAATGAGAATTGAACCTGGGATCTTCTCTAATATAAGTATATTTTTATATTTTCCTGAATGTTTTTATTAATTGAGCTACGCCAGAGATAAACACAGATTTCCACTGATTTCTTCGTTCCCTGTTGAGATCCTTCAGTGATATGTTCACCACTTGTTTTTCTTTTGCAACACAGTCCTTTAGATTTCCAGAAAACCCATTGCTTTCAGTATCACTTCTGATTACATCAGTGCTTCACCTCTAAGATAGCTTCTTCAGTTGCCTACTGGATACTTTCTCCTTGGATATCCCATTACCATCTTATTCTGATAATTATTATCTTCTCATATTTTTTCAGAGTCTTCCTCATATTGTATGTTGTATTCCAGTGATGGCGAAACTTTTAGAGACCGAGTGCCCAAACCGCAACCCAAAACCCACTTATTTATCGCAAAGTGCCAGGGCCGCATCAGCATTGTAGTGCCCTCAGGGGCGTGGGCGTGGCCCACTGGGTGGGCATGGGTGCAGTGGTCATGGCAGACTGAGTGGGCGTGGCTGGAGTGGGCATGGCCACCTTGATGTTGCTCGGGGGGGGAATTCCTGTGGGGGCTGGGCAGGATTGGGGGAGATCCAGGGGGTCTCCGGTGGGTGGGGCAGTGGTCAGGAGGCTCGTCCTGCGGGGTGAGGCAGGGGTGCCATTGCTGCGGGGCGAGGCGAGGCAGGGACGGCTGCTGCCTGACATCATCAGCCCCCGTACACAGAGGCCAGCGAGCGCATGGGGGCGTGCTCTACCACCTCTACTCGAGCTTGTTAGCCAGCTACTTCACCTCCTTTGTGCTGGGTGGGGCCGCCGCTCCGGGCACCATCAGTGGCCTAATGGACTTGCTTGAGCTGGCGGTGGCGGCAGGTGTGCCCACAGAGAGGGCTCTGAGTGCTGCCTCTGGCACGCGTGCCATAGGTTCACCATCACTGTTCTATTCATTGAAAATCAATGGAATTGTTGAGATAGAAGAAGCAATTTAGACTGAGTCCAACTCTAACCTTGATGTTCTCTAACCTTAACTCCCCCCCTCCCCAAGAAATATCTATTTAGGGTCTTCTTGAATACATCCAGTAAACGGAACTCATAGTCTTCTTAGATAACTTGTTCACCCCATCTTTATTCAAAGGACGTAGTATTCAGTCCCTTATCATCCTTCTTATTTTGTCTGAGTTCTTAATGTACTGGACAGAATTGGGCATAATGCTTGAGGTGAGGTTGGACCAGTATAGATTGGAATGGAACTATTAGTTCTGTAATTTGGAAATTATATTTTTATGAATGAAGTTAAATATTGTATGGCCCTATTTAGATAGCAGCACTTACATAGTTTTGAAAATTTTTTTGATTAGAATCAGACCTGGTTAGTACTTGGATGTGAAACAACCAGGAAATCCCATCAGAATTGAAATTTTAAAAAAATCTGAAAGAAGGCAGTAGCAAATTACTTCCCTATTATTTCCTAAAAACATAACCATGAAATCACCAGGAATCTTAATTTTGTAATTGTAGTTTTTATACTGGTTAAATTTCCCCATTTAAAAATCTAACATTATTTTAATATACACTGTTACCAGGCCATTTATTCCTATGTATGTGGTTGTTTTAAAAAAAAAAAAAGCAAATTTTTAACCAGATACCATACCTTGACTTGAACTTTATTTTAATTTGCGACTCAATTTTTTATATTTAATTCCATGTCTGTAGCTCTTGAATACAGCATTACAAAATTATGGTTCTTCATTTCTGTTCTTTTTGTATAAACCTCAGCTTTAACTACCGCGTTCTTTTATGTCCTTTCTTGTATTTGTATTGCACAATACAGATAAGAGGAACTATTGTAAATAATAACGATTTGATTCGAGTGTGAAGATTGACTATCACATTCTTATTTTTGGCAAGCAAATCCTTTTATATATCAAGCGTAGGCCAAAAGAATTCAATCAAAAGTCCAGAACTGTGCCAAAGTCTCTCCTGCAGGTCCAATAAAGACTTGCGTTCATGTTCACATCAACCTTTCTCAGTGAAAGGCACTCTGAAGCAGCTCTTCTCAGGGAGATTGTATTTCAAAGGCATTTCCAACAGGAGAGACTAAATACTATCCTCTGGGTGGATGCACTCTAGACCAGTGGTGGCGAACCTATGGCACGTGTGCCAGAGGCGGCACTCAGAGCCCTCTCTGTGGGCACGCGCACTGCCGCTGCCAGCAGCTTGTGCACGTCCATTAGGCCGTCGCCACCACCCGGAGCGGCAGCCCCACCCAGCACAAAGGAGGCGAAGCGGCCAGCTAGCAAGCTTGAGTAGAGGTGGTAGAGTACGCCCACACCCAGCAAGCCAAAGGCCACCCCGAGCAGGGAAAGCCGGATCCCCATCAGTACCATGGCCCCCCAGTCCCAGTTAGGATTGCGTGCCTCCCCCCCATCTATGCTGGGCTTCCTGCCCATCGCCCCATCCGCCAGAGACCCCCTGGATCTCTCCCAACCGTTTTGGGTTGTGGTTTGGGCACTCGGTCTCTAAAAGGTTTGCCATCACTGCTCTAGACTTTTGCTTGTAGATGCTTCAGATAGAATGTCTCCTATTATGTTTCACTAACTTTGCCTTTTCTCTTTGGAAAAGAAGGTTCTAGAGCAGAAAGCTGCTTGCCAGCATGCCAGCTGGGAGAGGATGTGGGATTTTTGGAGGGAGGCTTTGATGCCCTGCAGATCAATCAGTTGGAGATGTAAAAAAAAAACCTTCCCTGTAATAGATAATAGTTATTTTGAAACACCACTGAACTTGGTATTGACTAGGTATGCGAGTAACTGGGTTGAGTTTAATGCAGTTCTGTTCCAGCCGGTGCTCAGATTGGCTTTGTAATTCGTTCCCTAGACATGATTCATTCATTGTAATTATATTGTGGCAATTAAATGTGAGGGCTGGTAAGAAATGAAGTATTTCTGGTTAAATATTGTATGTAATCTGGCTGTTGGTTTGATCTTCCAAGGTTGTAAATGATCTGGTCTTCAGTGGTTCCAGTGACCAATCTGTCCATGCCCACAACATACATGTAAGTTGTTCGAAAGTCATTTCATTTTAATCCATGAAATTCTTCATACCACTTTTACTTCTAACAAAATAATTTACTGTTAAATTAGTGTCGATAATCCATTTACACTAATTTTAAACAAGTGTTCCCAGAGAGAAACACCTAATGCTGAAACTTGAATCTTGACTGTAGAGGTTCTGAGAAATAGAAAAATTAATTGCCTTAGGAGAGTTTCATGCACTATATTTTTTATTTGACTAGAGAACTCTGCCTGTTTAAAAATACTCTACTAGCCCTGTTTCATCTAGATATGTGGAAACAATGGCTTGATACAGTATTTTAAGAAGAAATCCATCAGATAGCTATTATTATATTATGATCCACGAAAAACAACAGTAATTGAGACTGGTATTTTCATCACTAAACAATGCGGTCATAAAGTACAACATCACCTGACCACATCTCATAATGACGACAATAGGCACTCCCTATTGCCATCATTAAGTGAGGATCACAGGCGACTCACAAGCAAGCCGGGAGGCAGAAGGGGCATGGTCTGGATCACGTCAGCCAAGGAATTGACTGGCGGGTAAAGGAAAGGAGCCTTTCTGCTGCAGAAGATCGTGCCCCTTGAGCTGAAATCTGCCCCCCCCCCTCTTGGCCTTCCAAAAGAGCCTGAAAAACTGGCATTGCCAACTGACTTGGGACCCTGGTAGGGGCATCCCATTTTGGAGAAGGCTACTGTAGTAGACGAATACAAGATCTCACCTCTACTCTGCCTCTGCATTGGTTCTTTTTATCCATTTTTATATGGATTTTAATGTATTAATTTTTACTATCTGATGTTTTAATGTTTTAATCTTGTAATTGTTTTTATTCTGTTAATTATGACATTGTAAGCAACCCAGAGTTGCTTGGTAGAGTGAGGGGCGCATACAAATTCAATAAATAAATAAATAGGAATGGGAATGGAATAAGAATACAGTAGAGAACAGAACATAATAGAACAGAACAGAATAGAATAGATAAATATAAATTCTAAGATGCATCTCTTTTTATGAATGATGGTTGATAAGGACACGCTTTTACACAAAATACATAAAGATTGATCCCCAGTGGCTATATGAAAGTGTTGTTCACGCTAGACAGTTAACAATCTTTCTTACAATGCTCACTTCATGAACAATATAAACTAAAGAAGACAAATCTCTTTTAAGATTTTGTTCTTAAAAGGAAGGTGTCTATAAGAATTTAGTAGAAACAATCAATTTGCTTGCTCTGCGGGTACCCATTTATCCTGATCATCTTGTTGCAGACTGGGGAGCTGGTACGGATATACAAGGGGCATAGCCATGCAGTAACTGTTGTGAACATCCTGGGAAAAGTAATGGTAACCGCCTGTTTAGACAAGTGTGTTCGAGTATATGAGTTGCAGGTAAAAACCTAACTGATTTTACTTAAAGTGGAATGTGATAATTATCTTTGTAAATGATATCCTTTGTTTTTCTTTGATCCCAAGTGATGTATTCCTCTTCAAATATTTCATGAGTTCTAATTCAAAGCAACCCTTTTAGGTCTGAACTGGGTTTTAAGGAAGTCCTGTAGGAGTTGCGCAAACTTCGGGGTCTAATCTTCTCTAGGAAGAATAACGGCTGGGTTGTTTGTTTTGCATGCTGAACTTACTTGCCATGAGATAACAGTGTTGCTGTGAAGTCCTGGGTCAGTGATGGCGAACCTTTTAGAGACCGAGTGCCCAAAAACTGGCCCCGCCCCTGCTCCACCCCCTGCCCCGCCCCTGCTCCACCCCCTGCCTCGCCCACGCTCCACCCCCTGCCTCGCCCACGCTCCGCCCCACCCTGCTTGCCCGCAGGGCCACTCACCGCCTCCAGGGCCCGCCACAGATCGCCCAGGCAGCCCAGCAGCACCACAGCGGCCACGCCCTCTGCCCACGCCCTGCAGCATCAACTATGCACGTTGGGGCGTGAGGGCAGAGTCTTGTCTACGCTGCCTGGCTGCCATGTCCTTGGCTGCGCTGCTCACGCTCAGGGGTGACTCTCCTTCAGGGGTGCTGCTGGAGAGGAGGAGGTCGTGGGGGGAGGCGAGGCTGGGGCAACAGCACGTGTGCCCACAGAGAGGGCTCGCCATAGGTTCGCCACCACTGTCCTAGGTTATGTACATTGCCTGCCACACATTCTGAAAGTGTGTGAGGTGATTTTTAGAGAAAGAAATGACTTGTTTGATAACTCTTCTTCTGGGAGAGTCTGTGGCTGGAAATGAGTATTTAAAATAAACGAACTAGAATTGTGGGGCAAAGAAGCAGGTTGTTTTGTTTTTCTTACATTTGTTTACATGCAGTTTACTAAAATCTTTAGGTATATGCTTATTGGCTTATTTTCTTTGTTTCCCCCCCCCTCTTTTCCACCAAGTCTCACGATCGTTTACAAGTCTATGGAGGACATTCGGATATGATTATGTGCATGACCATTCATAAGAGCATGGTAACACTTTGTTTTCCCTTTTCCGTAATAGGGATTTTCCTCTTATGATTATGGCTATCCGGAAATAGATTATTATTCTTGCTTGCTTTGATGATAGTGTTTTGCAAGGAACTTGACGCTTGGTTCCCTCTGGTTGGGAAATAGGACTGTAAAGCAATTATGAATTTGTTAGAAGTTGTATCTAAAGAGCCAAATGTCCTCAAACCCACTAGAGCAGGGGTCCTCAACCTTGGCAACTTTAAGACTTGTGGACTTCAACTCCCAGAATTCCTCAGCCAGCTTTGCTGGCTGAGGAATTCTGGGAGTTGAAGTCCACAAGTCTTAAAGTTGCCAAAGTTGAGGACCCCTGCACTAGAGTACCCAATGAGGAGTATCTGTCAACTGGGGGAAGATAAGCAGGCATTTGTATCTTATATTTAGGAACATCAAACTAGTCATCTGACATCACCACTTCTCTATGTGCATAAGGAGATTCTGGATTCTAGCCAGGCTTTAACAAAAGACATAAGTAAATTCACAGATCAGAAGAAGCCAATCTAATGCCCTGCAGTTGGATTGGACCCCAAACCTTTATCTGCCCTTGTGGGATGGCCAGGGGTAAGGGACTGTATTTAGTAGTATTTATGTAAATTTGGCACTCCTTTCCCCCCCCCCCCCAGTATTAAAAATTATCCCAGTTGGATATTTTAAAACAACTGAACTGTGATAAAATAATACAATTTTATCCAACTCTTTTCAACCTGTGAAAAGCATCAGATAACTTTTGAATAAACTTTTAACATTTGAGATGACTAAACCAGCTGAAATCTGAAAAGCACAGCAACTCTAGTTTAACCAACAGCCTAAGTAACTAGGTTATATGTTTTTCACTTCTGTAGTAACCCAGGTGTGTGTCTTGTTTTTTTAATTTTTTTAATTGGGCACTTACCGTAGAATGCCTCCATAGCCTGAATGGCATCATTATAATTTGTTATCCCATTGACTGCATGCAAAAATTATTTCCCAGGAGGAGACTAGCACCATTCAAACACTTAATGATATTTGTACTGTTAAACCACTTGTTTAGTTACAGAACTTAATTTAATAAGTCCATAGAGTAACTGAGGGACTTTATTCAATTGACGATCTTGCATTCGTTGGTTGCATATTAATGTATATTTTCTAAATATTACTACTGATTTCTTTGGCAAAATAGTTTTACAATTCATACTTATTTTTTATTTTCATAGATATACTAGCTGTTTTACTGTTATTGATATCTCAGGTTTTTTTTTAAAAAAAGTTCATACTAAAGGGTTTTTCACATCTTCAGTATACAGTATGCTGATTGAATTGCTTCCCTTAATCCAACCATTATGAACTGAGTGATAAAGGACTGTATAGAAATTAATTTCAACATTTTGTTTTTTTTATCACTAAAATATATAAGCTACTGTACAAAAAAGAAATAATCTAATCATAGTGCCAGTGACTACTGCATTTGGTATATCCATGTCGTTTTATTCTTTTAATTCTAGAATTCTTTTTTTCCTCTTTCAGATCTACACAGGTTGCTATGATGGTAGTATCCAAGCCGTGCGGCTTAACCTGATGCAGAATTATCGTTGTTGGGTAAAGACAAAAGCATTTTTGCTCTTTTAGACTCTGAAGTTCATGCAGTTGTTTGTAATACTTGAAACCTGTTGAATCCACAGAAATGTAACATAAATAGGATAAAAATGTCAATAAAGCCATATAGTTGAAGCAGTTAAAATTGGAGTTGGGCAGTTGTAAGAAATTCCACTGTAAAAGGCAGGCTAGGCACAAGGTATCAAATATTATAAATAAACTCTCTAAGCCAAATTTGAATCAGATTCTTTACCTACTAATGGAAAACAATCAGTTCATTCCAGGTTCCAGATAAATCTCAAGTAGCCTTTAAACTCCTAAGTTTAGTCTTCATTTAGGAATGGCCAAAAATCTTGACTCCACCCACTCTATTCTTTGGGAGGGTGGGCTCAGAAAGATGCTGGAGGGTCTATCTGCCCATCCCTAGATGACTTTCATTTACATCCTAAGGAAGCTGTTGAAAACAGGACTCTTTTTCACTAGTTCATCATCCCCCCCATCAGGGCAAGGGAAGCATACTTTTCAGGTAATGGAACTGTTTATGTTGTGAAGGCACTACTATGATGACAGTGAGAGGTAAACCTCACTCTTCCTGGTGGAATCCCCTGGGCAAATGTAGGGCTTCTGGTACTTTTAAGTAATCAAAGTATTCCCAAGAGAGACAAACCAAGTGTGGTGTGGAAAGTTGAAAAAGCAGGAGCTGGTGCCCCTCCCCTTCAAGCAATCCTTAGGTTAAAATGGGTGCTTTGAGAAGACCAGTACTTGATCCCTCAGTTCTCTCCCATCTTCAGCATGGAGGAACGTCATAGTTCCTTTATATAATGTTGTATTCTGGAGCGGAAAGTGTTCCGTCTCTGATAACTGCATGAAGTGTTTTTTCTTTTTGGATGAAAGGTGTAAAGATCTTGCCTGTAGTATCTTAGAGGGATGGAACAAACTTGGCACAATTGCTGCCAGGTTTCTGTTCAGAAAACTCAAGACTATAAATGTGATGTAAGACTATATATGTGATGTCTTTCAGAATGACCAAAAACTTCACGTTTATCATTTGACTCTCTTCTTTTTCCTATATGTGGATTGAAGTGGTCTTACAGTTTTGGTTACTTCAGTCCTATTCCTACTTGCTGTTAACATCGGATGTTTTTGCTTTGACAACAGTTGGAGATGCAACTATTTTCTTCTTATGTTTTACTTTTAGAGCTAGAGCTAGAGTTAGATGATGCTGGGGGGAGGAATGTGTATGAGAGTTCAGCTAGACAATAACAATACTGGACCTAGTGTGTGACCTAAGATTATTGAAATAAGAGATGATAAGAATTGGCCGGTCTGGAGGGAAAGCCTGCATTTCAAACTAATTGGAGAATGTGATTTATGACTGTTAATTGGAGGAGGGAATTGTGCTTTGATACTATGTGCTCAGGGGAGGGGGATCCAATTTTTGGCTTCAACTGTGTTGGTGCCGATGCTATGCTTCTCAAATAAAGATTCTTTAAGGTAGACAATGCCTCAAAGTTCTCTGAAGAGTTTCATCCGTTGGAACCATGACACTTGCAGTGTCAATGGAGGATTGAAAATCTTTGTGTTACACAAAGCTGTGCAGTATAGGGGTTAAGATGTTATAAGACCCAGGAGACCTTGGGAGCTCCTTGGATGATTTGGGGTCAGCCATTTTCTCTCAACCCAACTTATTTCAGAGTTGATGTTGGGAAAAATTTCTGAATGGAGTGCTGTGGACAAAAATGAATGAATGAATGAATGTACCATTTATGGTTTTACAAAGCTAGCTTTTACTAAGTCATGCTAATTAAGGTTCCTCTAGTTCAATATTTTCTTATTTTTCTCTTTTTTAGATTTATGAACTGTAGAAAAATGGTTCCATTCTTAATGTCTCCACTAGCTTTTAGCCTTTCTTCTGTTAACTGGTTTTATGTCATTGCCATTCCCTCTTTCTAACAGTTTTATTTATTTTCTTTATCAGTGGCATGGGTGTTCACTTATATTTGGAGTTGTGGACCACTTGAAACAGCATTTGTTAAATGACCACACAAATCCAAATTTTCAAACTCTGAAGTGTCGCTGGAAAAATTGTGAGGCCTTCTTCACCTCCAGGAAAAGCTCCAAACAGGTATGTAGCAAAGAAATTGGATAAAAGATGAAAGATGAAGTAATTATTTGGAGTGTAGTTCTTGCAGCTTGGGAAGAGAGTGATCTACAAAAACTTTAATATGTGGGGGGTTTTTTTTGAGAAAAAAAGGTGCACAATTAACTGGCAGTCCTGTTGCCACTGTGTTATAAGGAAACACAGAAGAGAGGAGAGGAAAATCTATTCCTGATGTAGTGTCAGAAATGTCTGGTGCCCTTGTTACTCTGGTGTTGATTCTTCGATAGTGGTAACTGGAAAAGAGACCAGTTTAAGGGTCTTGATCTACAATTCTCCTATTCTCTGCAGACTATAGAAGTACTAAAAAATGTACTAGCTGTTGACATATTCTCTTTAGATTCCCCCTCTTTCCCCGCTTGTTCTGTTCTTTCTTTGTGAGCCCAGCAGCATTCTTTCTGTCATCAATTATTCTTCTCAGGCCTTCATTGGATTGCCTTATAAGATATTTTTCTATCATATATGTTACTTACACATTGGTCATGCATGTACTAAACAGTTCATTAAACAACTAGTGAACATATCATAGAACATTTCACAAAGACCAATCAAATAAAAGCTAAAGCTGCTCAGTGAAAGCATGGGGATGCTTTTAACTTGCTGGTCAGAACTTAAGGATATAAGAAATTTAATAAGAAAATTTCCACTTTGACTAGTGCTGTCCCAAATCTTGGATGTACACTGGCCTGGTCATTGATGTGTTTAATTTTTTTATAGGTCGTTGGAGTATAAAAATCTGAGCTGATTGAAACCAACCCTCTTTTGTTTCTGCTTCTAGGATGCAGTGGGACATATCGAGAAGCATGCACAGGATGATAGCAAGATCGACTCATGACATTTTTCAGCCTCCCATATTGGGAAGTATTTTTTTATACACAAGAAATTTTACATGCCTTGTCCACCTCATTCTTTTCTTTTTCCTCCTGTTCATCCTTGGAGCGCAAAAAGAACACAAGCCTTTTTCTGTTTTGTCTACAGAGACACGATCTATTCACAGCTCTGCAGAGAAAGGAATGACAGAGTCATGCCAAAAAGCTGTTTATACCATTCACTTGTTAGGAAAAAAATCTACTCTTCCTCTTATTTGCACTGTGCAAATAAGTGCATTGTGCTTATCTCTTACTAGGTATTCAGAGTAAAGTTGAATAAACTTGGGGCCCTACCTATATGTGTTTTAACCATCAGTTTTCATGTTATATGTAGGATCCCCTGTTAATGTGTGTTTCTGGCTTTGGAGTATTTTAATGTTAATCAAAACATTACTGAACACAGGCCAGAAATACCACCTGATTATTGACTTCCTTATTTTTTTTCTTACTGAAGTCTTTGAGATACTTTGCTGTGGGAGTAAACAATTGGCTCATTGTTTGAGTTACTTTATATTGTGGCTTCAGTTTGAAATGTGAAATCTACACAATTAATCACAATTGATTTTTGGGGAGGGGGGTATGCTTTGGCTCCAAAGGCTCTTAGGGTGGCAGAGAACATACTGTTAAGACAGCAGAATACCTGTTTTCTAATACTGTAATTTCCCTGTTATTTTAAGAGTACTAGGCACCATAATACAAACACCAGTGAATATAACTTATATTAGACATTTTTGGTTAGATTTATGCCCAGTGCTCTCTTGCCACAATATTGAAACTGGTTTTTTTGGTTCTGAGAATTTCAAGTTATGACCATTCTGGCATTTGAAGTAAGTGAACTTTTACTACATGTTTACTTGCTTCATCCAGCTAAGCCCATGAGAATCCTGTTCTTTGCAGTCAGCTTTTTGATAAGCATCTTGTCTCACAGCAACTGACTAAATAACTTCAGTTCCTATAATTGCAAGTTATTCAGCTGTTGGGTGCAAACTGGGAAGATTTAAAACCCAAGCAGAAGCTGAGAATTTTGCATGTATTTTGTGCTGTCATTTAAGGTAACAAAATCAAGCAGCATGACAAATGCAAGGATTTTTTTTTTTTTTTAAATGGCACATGTGTTTGTGAAGGAAATGTGTATGTGGTCAGTGCTGTCTGGGAAAGTTGGTGCTGCAATTTACGGTTTTCAGAAAGTGGTTCCCTATTTAGATTTCATCTACTGTTTGTGACATCAGTTCTGGTTTTTCCTCCACAGAAAAGCTAAAAACCTCATTATTAGTCTAGCACAGTGTTTCTCAACCTTGACAACTTTAAGGCATGTGAACTTCAACTCCCAGAATTCCACAGTCAGCATTGCTGGCTGTGGAATTCTGGGAGTTGAAGTCCACATACCTTAAAGTTGTCAAGGTTGAGAAACATTGGTCTAGCAGTATCTGACTGTGAGCTTAACTACACCAGACAATGTATACATATCAGAAGAACAAATGATATTGTAATCAACCTTTAAACATAAAAGCTAATTCATGTATAACTTAGTGACTTGAAACAGCTGGAAGAACAAACCAGTTGGAAGTTGCCGTACATGATTTGTTGACAACTCAGATAAGCTTAAAGCAGTTTTGATTCTGGTCCTTTCTTTTGACCTTTTGCCATGTTCAAAAATAATGAACAATTCACTGGTTCTCTTCTATTGTTAGGACATCTTGTTCTGTAGCTTGTGTGTGATTTCTGGGCAATACTGCCTCCTCTTTTCATGACATTGTTGGCAGCTGAAATCAAACAGGCTGAAGGAAACCCTTAAATGCTTACTTGAAAGGCTGCAAAAACGTTTGTTTTGTAGATAGCCAAATATCAAATGACATTTTAAAATATAGCCAATTCTTATTTGAATGTGTTTGAAGTTAAATTACAGAAGCAGGAAGTATTTTTGTGAGGAAAAATATATGGAGTGTGTTATTAGTTATGTGAATGAGTGAATCTTAATTTTGCATCCTCTTCAAGTTCCTTTTTCAGTATTTTAACTGGAAGAGGATGGTGACTTGATACGCAATAATTTAAATGTTCTTTTGGCATCAGCAGTTGCAAGTGATTGATAACTTGGACTACTTTGTGTTTTTTACTGTTTAATACTGTATGTATATTTAGGTGTGTATGTGCGTGCACACATTTAAGATGAGTGCATTTTGGGATGCTTTCATAATTTGTAGTAAAACTTGTTCAGCAATAAAAGTGTGGCCAGGTTTTATTAGTTGGTTCTATAATATATGTTTTTCTTAATGAGAAGAATTGTTGCAAATGAGGTCACATGGACATAATCCTTAGAAAGTTAAACTCCTCCTCCTTTCAGTGTGTTACACTGAAGCTCCACCATTTTTTCACGTGGAATGTAAAATGTTCTCTTGCGATTCAGGTTATTTGTTTGATTTGAGGTTGTTTTCTGTACTTATACCTCTTTAGTTGGAAATGTAAGCATGCTCCTCTAGGTTGCTCTAGAAATCTTGATGCAAAGAGAGCAAAATGGAATTTGCTGATTATTGATAGAATGGTAAGGTAGATGCATCAAGATTATGTACTTCGAAGAATGTCCCATTCTGGAAGGTTTTTCTCTTATTTCCTCAAATATATTAACTTTATCTTTAGAAGATATTTATTTTGAAAGAAAGGAGATAGAAATGAAGTGGCCAGAGTGAATTGCAGAGTGCATTATTAAAATGTGTGGGAAGTGTTTGGTTTTGTGTGCTGGCTGATGTCTGAGCAAGTTGTTGTAGGTTGTATATGCAATGTATTTGGATTGCATGCGAACATATTTCTTCAGTACAAGAGGTGTGTGTTTTTAAAATGCCATTAAGTTTTTGTGTTTGTGTGGTGAATGTGTTTCTTTACATTAATGGTTCTGCTGTGGAGGACTGTTGTGTATATCAGTTGCTGTAGAATTCAGGTATTTGGCTGGTTGCATTTTTGTCCCACTAAATAGCAGAAAACCTGCAAGTATTCCAGCTTCTGTTTGCTCTTTGAGACACTACTGGGCTACCTGGACTGAAACATAAAAGCTACAACATCTTAATAAAGTGGCAAAGCACCCATCTTAAAAAGTCTGGACTGCATCCTAAATATCTAATGACATTTTATCTTCTTTCTAAATGCAAGTTGGGGGTATATGTTTCATAGTGTACATGTTCAAAGACAGATACATTAAAAATTAGTATTCAGGCAGCCAGCAGCTAACTTGCTCTAAACACTTGAGTTTCCTAGATAATCTATAGTTGTGAGGAATGATTTGCACAGAACATATAAGCAGGTACTCCATATAGTACTGTGCATTAATGCAGCTAGAAGGTCTCAAACAACACAACATTTAAGGCAGGAACAGATTCCTGTAATAGCAGAAATACCAGGTGGGAAAATAGCATATTAACTCTGTTGTAACTGTTTAACTAGCATCTTTTCTCAGTTTGTTTCAGTGAAGAGTTTAGTCTTTCCTTTTTGCTACAAAGCTGTGAATTAGATAAGATAAACAGCAAAAAGAAAAGAAAATAAATTTACTTTATCCCAAGAGAGTTGTGGTGTAGTCTATTTTTTTTCCAGATTTCAGTTAATCATTTAAATACGTCATTTACTTTTGAGGAAAAAAATGGGGAAATGATTGTTCAGCATCTAATTCAGTGCTTCTCAGCCTTGGCAACTTTAAAAAGGTTCCCCAATCAGCCAGGAGGAATTCTGGGAGTTGAAGTCAACATGTCTTAAAATTGCTGAGGGTCAGGTTCTGTACAGTCTCTGAAGTATATCAAAAAAGCCTTTTGAAAGAATATTTCTTTAGTATGGAGCCTGTTTCACTGTATTTTACCTAGCTATTCCACATACCTCCAAGGTCAACTTCCCAAAACCACAGTTCCAAACATAAGCAAAAATATTGGATAGCAATCCTCCTTCATACAATTAATACAAGCATCTGTTAAAAGAAAACTGGACCCCTACAAGTAGCATTTTTTCATAGGTTTTTTTTAAAATCACACTTCCTAATGTTAACATAGCAGAACCAGTGAAAGAGCTCTCATTTATTATGCAACTTTTGTCATATTATCCAAAACAATGGAACCATTGTTTGCATGGTATTTGCTAAAATGGGATGGGGGAGTACAGTTTCCAAACAAAAGTAGTCATAGCACTAGGTCATAGTTAATCCTGTGTGCAAAATGTCTTATAAAAGAAGTCTTGTTTATATGTCAATACAGACTTCTATAAAAGTTCTACTGTAAGAAAACCCAGACTTGCTGAATCTGTCCGTCTGTCAAAGTTGCCAGAATAAACTTATAATTTAGCTAAAATATTTTTCCTGCAGCTTAGGAAACAAATTAATTGCCGGAAGTCCTTGACTTGCGACCATAATTGGGACTAGAATATCTATTGTTAAGTGAGATGGTGTAAAGCAGTGGTTCTCAACCTTTTTAATGCCGCGACCCCAACCGGTCGTAAGTCGAGGACTAAACCGGTCGTAAGTCGAGGACTAAACCAGTCGTAAGTCGAGGACTAAACCGGTCGTAAGTTGAGGACTACCCAACCGGTCGTAAGTCAAGGACTTTCCCTGCCCGGGAGCGCCGCGCATGCATGGTTCCGCCCCCTGCGCCGGCCAAGGCGTAGCTGGCAAGCGGCAGAGACGGAGCAGGCCGACCACCAGCTGGCCCAGCCCAAGGGAGGTAAGGCACCTGCTGGAAAAGGGGGAAAAAATGGCGGACAGCCTTGCTTGGCGACCCCCATGAAATGGTTGATCGACCCCAAATGGGGTCCCGACCCACAGGTTGAGAACCACTGGTGTAAAGTGACTCACACCTGATTATATGACCTTTGTGCAACAGTAGTTGAGCTAATAGAGACGTGTCAAACTTGCAACATCATGTGACGTGCAACATATCGGGACTGTTTTGCCATTGCCGGCAATGGGGTGGACGTAGCTTCTGTGTGATGCATCCGGCCTGCGAGCCGGCAGTTTGACACTCCTGAGCTAGTCACTGTAGCTAAGTGAATCACATTGTCGTTTAGCAAACCCAGCTCCCCTATTGACTTAGCTTCTTACAAGCTGGGTGGGAAGGCTGCAAACAGCTATCACATGACTCCAGGACACTGCAACCATTGTAAATACATGCCAATTGCCAAGCACCCAAATTGTGAAAACATGACTTTGGGGATGGTGCACCAGTCTTAAGTGCTAGGCTTAAGTGGTTGAGAGTCACTTTTTTTTTCAGTGCTGTTGTAACTTCAAATGGCCGCTAAATGAATAGTCAAGGACCACCTATAGTTCAGCCACAATATTTAGCCATCTATCTAATCATTTGACAAATCCTGTTTTAATATTTAATCTGAGTATATTGATATATTCTGTTGCTGGACATACCGTAATTGTAGGAAGCTTTGGCTACAGGAATAATAACTGATGTAACGTATAAGAAAA